TGGGTATCATTTCCTTATTAGTAAAAAGGTGTGAAGATTCAACAAGATGGTGTCATTAAGATGCTTAGCACAGTATCTGGTGCATAGTAAGCACTTAGAAATAATAACCATGTAATGTTAATAATAATTATTACTATTAGTAGTGACATACAAGCGATACTTTATATCTGAACTTTTTCTTTGTAATATATGAAAATTTCTTTTTACTTTTTCTTGCTTTAAGAGGTGGCTCACTGTGATTGCTTTATCCTGTTTTGAAAGAATGCTCCCATAATCTTGTAGGTTTTTTGTTTTTTTATTTTTTTTTACTACATATAATCCATTTCTCAAGGATTCTTGAAATATAATCTTTACATTCTCTAGATTTGCACTATCCAGTGAAGTAGCCACTGGCCACATGTGTTTTTACATATAAATTTAATAAAAATTAATTAACAGTTTAAAAATGCAGCTCCTTAGTTATACAGCCACATTTTAAGGGCTAAATAAATGGCTATATGTAGCTACTGACTGCCCACTGGACAACACAGATGAGAACATTTCTGTCATTGCAGAAAGTTCTATCGGATAGCACTGCTTTAAGTATTATTCGTGAATGATCTTGTGCTCTTTTTTCAGAATTCAAAGAGGATGTATTTTTTTCTGGTGTTACAGAGACTATTCTCAATGTTTCAGGGCTCCAAACATCCATTTTTGTGACTCAGGTCACCTTTTGTATTCTAACCCCTTAAAAAACATTATTTCAAAAAATCATTCCTGTTTTTTGAAATAACTTCACTTCCCCTGATAAGACTATAGTACCATTAATTTTTTTAAATTTTTTACAAACAGAAGATATTTATTCAATTCACAATTTTGCAGACTGAAAAGCTGGAGACTGGGTAGTAGCTGCCTCTGGTTGGCTTCTAATGAGAGCCTCATGCTGTGTCAAAGCCTGGCATGTTGGCATGCACCTGTAGTCCCAGCCACTTAGGAGGCTGAGGCAGGAGGATTGTGGCACAGTGGGAGGCTTTCTAAAAGTATCTTTTCATTAAGAAATATTTAAAAGTTAAAAAAAAAAAAATACAGAGAAGGAAAGCAGACCTGAAGCATCCAAAAGGTACCAGAAATTTTTTTTGTTGTTTATTTATTAATTTATTTATTTTACATTCATTCACTGAGCATCATCATAGCATACAAAATTTGATTTCCCATATGGAATACACTGCATAGTGGTTTAATTATGCATGTTATCATCCACAAATAAATTTCCATTTCTTATTTTATATATATATTTTTTCACCCTATTTCTCACCCTCTGCCATTTCCTATCCTCCTCCCACACTGTCTCTGGTGTCTACAGTTGCTTTCCATTCCTATTTTTCCCCACATTTTATTGATTCACAAAATAATCTTAATTAATCTAACTACTTTTGATATCAAGTTCAGCTGATACATACATATCAGTGAACACATGTCTGACTTTAGGTGTGAAACTCTGAGTAGAATGAATATACTATAAAGTAGCACCTCACTGGTGCTATATAGCTCACTGTGGTCATTAAATAGGTATTTTTATTTATTTATTTTAATTTCAAGAAATGCAGTTTTTAGCTTTAATATATCAAAATTTTAAAAATGCTAAGAGAACTTTGCTTAAGACTTAAAACCAGGAAACAGGTTAGGGTCCTGTTCAGATAGTAGGTACATGAGCCTGTCGGCAGCTCTAGAGAAGACAAAAATCTTTAAATCTGGAAAACAAAGCATAGAAGAAAATCAGTAATGTTTTAGTCAAAAGTCATAAGATTATGTTTCACCAGTTTAGTCTCATGTACCTAATCTATCTTCTGTTGTGGTCTGATCTTCCCATTTATATTCTAGAATATAACATTCAACTCCAGACTTGTCCCTAACATTAGGCTGGCCATTTTTTTAGTTGTTTTTGAACTCTCATTTCTGTGTGTCTGTATTTAGTTTTCCTGGTATAGCACTCTGTTCAAAACTTTTTGGAAAGCTGATCTGGTGTGGGTAAATCCTTTCAAGTTTTGTTTATCTGGGAATGTTCTTGTCTTTTCTTCCCATATGAAGGATAATCTTGCTGGATACAGTATTCTTGGTTAAAATTGTTTTTCCCTTAACACTTTGAATATATTTTCCCATTCTTTCCTTACTTGCATTATTTCTTATGAGAGGTCTGCTGTTAGCGTAATGGAGTATCTTTTGTAGGTAACTTGCCATTTCTCTCTTGCCAATCTTAGTATCTTTTTGTCTGTGGTTTTGGTCAATCTGGCTATAATGTGTCTTGGAGAAGATCTTGGGTTGATTCTATTTGGGGTTCTTTGTATTACTTGGGACTGGATCTTTGAATGTCTTTCTAGGTTTGGAAAGTTGTCTTCCAGAATTTCATGGAATAGATTATCAATGCCCTTATCAGTCTCTTCACCTTCTGGGATACCAGCTATACAGATGTTTGGATGTTTAATGGTATCTAGTATTTCTCATATAGTATTCTCATTTTGGGGGAGCTATTTTCTCAGTTTTTGTGATGGATTTTTCTAGGCCAGTGATTCTATCTTTTATATCTGAAATTCAATCTTCTATATGATCTAGTCTACTTTTAATATTTTTTCTTGAGAGATTTTCACTGTAGGGCACGTGCGCTCGCCAGACAGACAGAGAGAGGCATAGAGACAGAAAGCGAGAAATCCCCCCCCAGGGGGGATGGTCATGCCGCAATCCCTTCTCCTCCATTCTCCTCTCGGGATCTTGGGCACGCACGCATACGCACCCGGTGTGAGTTTTAAGCCTCCGGGTCCAGGACACAAACCACAGTCGACTACGTGGGAGTCCCGCGACATAGCCATTACGCTAACTGCTGGTTCCCCCCTACTTTTAATATTTTCAAGGGAGGTTTTGATTTCCTGTATTACAGCCTTCATCTCTAAGAGCTCCATTTGATTCTTTTTTATGGTATTTTCTCTTTCAGATCATGAAAGAACTTCCTCACCTCTGGGAAATTATCAGCTCTTTTCTCTTGAGTCTTCTAGAGTTTATTATCTTTCTTCTCTTCAATTTCTGTTAGCTTTGTCACTATGAATATTCTAAATTCTTTATCTGACATTTCTGTGAGTTCCATTTTACTATCTGTGGATGAAGAAGAGTTCATTCTTTTCCCTTGGAGGCGAGGTATTTTCTTGCTTTCTCATATTTCCTACGCCCCTGCGGTTATTTCTGGTCATCTGATGGGTTGTGTGTTTCTTCCTAGTTCTTGAAGTTCAATCTGAGCATTCAGAGGCATGCAGGAGGAGGTGATCTGCAATCTCTCTTCTGTTCTGTTTTTCACTCTTTGTGCATCTGAGAGGTTGCCCTGCTACTCTAGAAATGAATCTGGAGGGTGAAGGCTCAGCAGAAAATCTTCATTTTTAGTCCCTGAAAGCAATATTTCACAACTGAAGTTCAGTAGCCGTCTCAGAATTGGGTACCAGAATTTTTTAAAGTTCCAGTCAACACTAAGCGGAAACTAAAAGAAGAGGCAAAGTAGAAATAATCCTGGAGAGATTCCATAGAGTGGTTACTCAAATTGTGACCACTAGAGTCTTCAGGGCCTAATAACAGAAAGTTGTAATGTCCTTTTTGTAAATATATTACAAATATATCATATTACTCAGTATCCCAGTTTTCTCTGAGAAAGGTAGTAAATAGCAATGTTTTTCTTAATAATCCTTGTTTTCTACATTATATACTTTTTAAAACCTTTTTTTATTTGTTTTTGAAGAAAATAGCATGGAGACTATCAGTCCCATTTTACTGATTTAAAAAAAAAAAAAAAGCAAAACTGAGCTTCAGTGCAGTGAAGTTACTTGTCTAGAGCCTTAAAGAGAAAATAGTCTTTAAGGAATAATTGAATTGACATTCAAACCAGGATAAACTCTTAACTTCATATTCAGCCCTTTTTTTTCTAATGTGTTTGATTTGGTTTGGTTTGGCTATAGGGCACATGCATTCACTAGAAAGAGAGATACAGTAAAAAATCTCCCAGGGTGGATAGATATGCTGCAGTCCCTCCTCCTCCACTTTTCTCCCAGGATCTTGGGCACACATGCATAAGCACGCAGCATGATTTTCAAACTGCCAGGTCCAGAACTCAAACTGTAGTTGGCCATGTATGAGTCCAGCATCTTAGCCACAACACTACCTGCTGGCCCCTGGCACTTTTCGAAAAATTTTCCTTTTGTTTTTGTTTTGTTTGTGCTCTGCCACCACTCAGACAGTAGTAGGGAACGAGTGCAAGTTGGGGAATGGAGGTGCTCTCAGAATTGCTACTGTCTCATTTGTCCCATGACCAGTTGCTTAGGCTGCCACAAGATCCCATAGATGGATCCGCTTAAACAACAGACATTTGAATTCTCTCAGCTCTGAAGGCTGAAAGTCCAAGGTCAAGACATCTGCAGGATTGGTGTCTAGTGAGGCCTACCTCCTCGGCTTACAGATGGCCCCTTCTCTGTTTCTTCATAGGGCCTTTTTCTTTGTGCGGGAGAAAGACCTCTCGTGTCTGTTCTCTTCTTATAAAGACACAGTCCTATTGAATTGGGGCCCCATCCTTATGCCTTCATTTAACTTTAACCACCCCTGTAAAAGCACTGTCTCCAAATACAGTCACACAGGGGATTAGGGCAGAGTATAGCGTGGGGGTGGGCAATTCAATCCATAACACCATGGTAATAGGTTTAGTGTCTCTTGATTTTCTGGCTTAATCTAGCTAGTTGGAAACTATTTAATTATAGGTTTGCATAGAACCGATTGTAGTAAATACCTATATTCTCTATAGAGGCTTAGTTAAATTAAAGCTGTGGTACTTGCTAGAAGGTACTTTTCACCCTGAGATATCTAATAGCCAAATGTTTGTTTCTAAATCTCCTAGTTTTCTTATAATGTAGCCCAATTTGTTAATAATTAAAAGGTCTCAGTATTTTATAGGGTAATAAGTGTTCCCCTTCCTTCCCCCCCTGTTTTACAGATGGAGCAATTAACGTACAGAAACATTGACTTGTCAGAGGTCAGAGCAAGGTATTGGTGGATCCAGGGATAAATCCCAAATCTCTTAACTGCTTGACCAGTTTTTAGTCCATTGACTATGCAGCCTAGTGGTAAGTATCTTTACCCTGTTCTGGAGGTGAGAGGCTTTAAGAGACCTAGCAAGGACTGAATTTAAGGAATTCCTCATTATTTTTTTAAATGTATGTATTTATTTATTTTAATTTGATCAGAATGGGACAAAGTAAGAGAGACAGAGAGAAGGATTGAGAGAGAAAACATGAAAGTGAGAAAGCAAGCTGCCAGGTCCAGGACTTGAACCATGGTTGACCATGTGGGAGTCCAGCACCCTTAATCACCATGCCCCTGCCTGCACCAGGAATTCCTCCTTTTTAATTAACCCACTCATTATGCTTTTTTTTATAACTATGATATCATCTTTTGTTATTAGCATAAATTATTCAGATTGGGAAGGAAGTTGGAAGTTTTGCTTTTTACGCATTTAAAACTATTTCAGGCCAGCCAGTTAGCAGGATGGTTAAGGTGACTAGAACCCACATAGCTGACTTCATGGTTTGAGTCCTGGACCCAGTGGCTTGACAACAACACCAGACACATGCCCCAAAATGGATGGCAGCATGGTCATCCTTCCACCCTCCAGCGAGTGCTCGCTCACGCTCTCTCTCTGGTGAATGCATATGCCCAATAGCAGATTTTTTTTTTAATTATGTAACATTTTCTCCACATTAGAGATTATTAAGAAAGGAGAGGAAGACAAGCCTATTATTTAGTCTTCTCTGTGTTAGGTACCATGCTAGATACTTTATATCCTTAAGTGTCATTAAAACACAGCCATTTCTGGAAGGCATACATTCTTCACTTTCTTTAATTTTTTTTTTTTTAATTTTGCTATAGCATGCATGCACTACCTGAGAGAGAGAGAAACAGAGAGAGAGCTAGGGAAAGTGAGAAATCACTTCCTAGTGGGATGGCCATGCCACAGTCTTGTCTTTTTTATATCAACTTTTTAATAGTATTAGTTGAATTTATTTGAAAAATATCATATACATTTCTGGGTTTAGATTCTAAACCAAATTTGAGTTTTGTGGAAACTGAGAACTTTATGAGAAATTCTTAAAAACAAAATCTCTGTTTAAGCATAATTTTCTAACTTATGTTAACCTTTTATATCCCTTGTTTAAGACTTACTGAGGTGGGATGATTTGTTTAATCAGGGATTAAGTCAAGTTTACTCTTCTACTTGACACTAAAATGATATTTTCTCTAATGCCTATTCTCCTATCTCTACATCTGAAATAGTTGTGATTCTTCTAATTACTAGGGAGGTCAAACAACCAAGCCACATGGGGACAAGGGGTGCATAATGAACCAAGAATTAGAACCAAGCTGCCACAGACCATTAGTATATTCTCTTCTCCATTCCTTGCCTCTGTATCTTTCCTCAAGCTTCTTTTGGTTTCTTGCTTTTTGGGCAGGGTCTCTCTGTGTTGCCCAGGCCTGCCTGGAGCGTGCCATCCTCCTGCCTTATCTTCCTAAATCTCTGGGATTGTAGGTACCACTGGGACTAGGGGTCAAACCAATGACTCTCATGTGGTCCCAGCCTGCAGAGCACAGTCTTAACAGTGTGTCCCACCACAGCAGGACTTCTCCTCCTGTTCTTATAAAGCTCCAGCCTCATGATGGTGGTCCCATCCTGTTTTTTTTTTTTGGAGAGATTTTTCACTGTAGGGCGCATGCGCTTGCCAGACAGACAGAGAGAGACATAGAGACAGAAAGCGAGAAATCCCCCCCCAGGGGGGATGGTCACGCCGCAATCCCTTCTCCTCCATTCTCCTCTCGGGATCTTGGGCACGCACGCACGCACACGCGCCCGGCATGAGTTTTAAGCCACCGGGTCCAGGACACGAACCGTGGTCGACTACGTGGGAGACCAGCAACATAGCCATTACGCTAACTGCTGGTTCCCCCATCCTGTTGACCATACATAATCCTAATTAACTTTTAAAGGCCTCACATCTAAATAGCATCAACATGTAAATTTGGGGATTAAGTTTGCAACACATAAAAATTAGGGGACACTTTTAAACTACAGTAGATAGATAAGAGATTTATTATGGGAAATGGCTCATGCAGTTAAGGAGACTGAGAAGTCCCATGAAATATTGTTTAAGTATGTCTCTTGATAGCTAGAGGTGTAATCCAGTCCTAGTTTAAAGGTCTGAGAATGAGGAGAGCCAGAGGTGTAACTTCCACTCTGAAGCCAAAGGCCCAAAAACCTGGGAGGTAGGGGAGGCACTGATGTGAGTCCTGGTTCAAGAATCAGAAGCTCTAGTGTGTAAGAGCAGAAGATGGATATCCCAGCTTAAGAAGCAAGAGAGAATTCCTCCTTTCTCTATTGTTTTGTTCTATCTGGACTCTCCCTGGATTGAGTGCAGCCCACCCACACTGGCAAGAGTGACCGTCTTTCAGACAGTCTGTAGATCCAAGTGTTAATCCCTCCCAGAAACACACTCCCAGACACACCTAGAAATAATATATACCAGCTATCTGGGCATTTCTTAGCCCAGTCAATTTGACACTTAAAATTAACCATAATAGTTCCACACCTTGCCAAATTAGCACCTACACACATTATCTTAAAGTGTACTTGATCTCCAAATGAAGATAACAACCAGGTTACAATTCTTTCTAAAATATACAACTATCTCACATACAACTAAAAGCATGCTAATCTCTCCCCCAGAAGAGCAGGTAAAGACCTTGAAGAATATTTACTCTTCTCTTGATATTCTGTAATTTAAACACGGTAATGTAAAATTAACAACACTTAAATATTGATATAAAGTCAGTATATCTTTTGTTACATGATAAGAGAAGAAAGCAAACGAAGATGCTTGCTTAGTATGTGTATATATAAACATATTAATCATAAAATAAGGAAATACCCCTGACAAGTACAGTCGTCATTTCTGTAACAATCATTACGTTAAAGCTGGTATTTATAGCTACTTCCTGCTGCTCATTTTGATTCCCTCTGCCTTCAGAAAGAACCTCATTTGGGCATAGTTCTTTACTTGTTGGTGACCGGAAGCTTCACTCCTGAAGGGTCTGGGCTATTTGTAGACCTGCCTGGATTGGGTTGTTTTAGTTTTCCATTGACCCTAATCTTAGGGGACGGTAATACTATTCCACTGACCCTAATCACAGGCAGCGCACAGTAGTACTAAGAGATGCCCTAAGGGAACTCCTGTAGTCCAGGCAAACTCTTCCTCCATTGTGGAGTACTAGTTCAAGTTCCTCTTGGCAGTCTGAATCAATGACCTCAGTCAGTGCCGCACTTCCCTTTGGCCTGTTGATGCAGAGCCATGAGGATGCCAGAGTGGCTGGGTGGCAGTCTCGATTCCCAGTTCAGTGGGTTGTTGTGTCTCCTGGTAGAAGTAGTCTTTGCTCTGTAACTAAGACCTATGCCCAATGGAGCATAAAGTTATGGGAACAGGAAGAAAGCATTCTGCTAGTGTGTCAGTAGAGAGAATGGTGAGTAGTGCCACTCCTGTTTTCATCCCTTGATTCCCAAGCCCATGAATTCTGGCTAGCACAGAAATAGTACTGTATATTGGATGCTGATTCACACATGTGTTACCTGTTGGCGAACCTTACCCGAGCCCTGCAAGCTGTTGCCACCTTGCTGGCATTGTAACTAAATCTTCAGAAGGCCATTTCTCCCTTCTGTCAAACCACCGCCTTTGGATGAAGGGAACACGGGTATTCCATGAGTGAATTCTATGAGTATGGACCCACTGCTACACTTCTTTGGGTTCCTGGATCAGAACCAATGCTGTATGGAATTGCTTCCACAATGGATAAGGCATTCTCTGAATTTATGGACGGCCTGCATGGAAGGAAATCTGTATCTAGAGTGTCTATTCCAAAGAAGACAAAATGCTTCCCCTTCCACGAAGGAAGCAGTCTGCAGTAATCAACCTGCCACCAGATAGGTGGCTCATCACTTTGGGCAATGGTTCCTTTTAAAGGGCTCAGTGGTGATCTCCACTGCTGGCAGGCTGGGCACTCAGCAGTGGCCATAGCAGCTGGTCAGCCTTGGTGAGTGGAAGTCTACTGCTGAGCACATGCATGGCTCCATGCACGTCTTGGTGAAGGAGGTGCCGTTTACAAGGCTGGGGAAGACAGAAAGAGAAACAAGTTGTCAGAGGGTGCATTCTGATTAAGTCATATCAAGCTTGAAATTGTAGTGGTGGCCAATGGGCAGTTCTGTATGGGAATGTGGAATTCCCAGAAACAGCCAGTACTGGAAATGTGAATTTGGGAGTAATCTCAATGAAAAGAGATGAACAGAAAAACCCTGTTTGGGTGGGAAGATAATGTAAGAAAGTGAAGAGGCAACTCATTCAGTTTTCCTGTGAAGGAGAACAAAAAAATGAAAGAATTTATGGAGAGATATGTGGGATTAAGAGAGGGGTGGGAAGGGTGCTTGAGGGAAATTTTTTTTGGGGGGGTTAGGAAAGAATTAAGAATACTAGTGAATATGTTAAGAATACTAGTGATCTATTTACAGTAGTCTCCAACATTTTTGGCACCAGGAAACAGTTTCATGGAAGATGATTTTTCTAAAGACTGGGGAGACTGGGTGAAGGAGGATGGTTTGGGGATAATTCAAGCACATTATCTTGCACTTTATTGCTATTAGTATTACATTGTAATATATAATGGGATAATTATCCAACTCACCACAGTGCAGAATGAGTGGGAGAGAGTTAAGAGCATTTGCCAGGGAGCCATGGAATTTGAGATGGTCAGAAAAATGTAGCCCTGAGTTTGTTTTTCTGCAACTAGACAGTCACATCTGGGGGCTCCTATGAGAATCTAATGCTGCTGATCTGACAAGAGGATCTCAGGCAGAAATGCGAACAATGGGGAGTGGCTGTAAATACAGATGAAGCTTTGTTCACTCACCACGACTCACCTCCTGCGGTTCGGCTGTGTTCCTCACAGGCCAGGGATTGGTACTGGTCTGTGGCCCGGGATTTGGGGACTCCTGATCTATTAGAAAGGGGATACTTACAAAGTCCTTTAGAGGATAAGATACCATAGGACCTAGATCGAAAATGGAGGATTGGCTTTTGACACGTCATCCACAATAACAGGAGAGAAGTCAGAAAGAATGACAGGTGAGCAGATGAGTGCCCTGAATATTAACTGAGCACGTGGTATCATACTGTGCATGAGGGTACACTGCTAAGCAAGATCACGTCTCTCCCACCCTGAATGAATGAAAGGGTTCCTCCCCTTCTGTTTTCTCCATGAACCCTGAATTAAGGTCATTCCCTAAAAGTGAAGTTGGGAAAGGGAATATTTGGAGTTTGAGGAGAGAGAAAAAATATATGAAAAACATTTGGGGTGGGGAAGCATTAGAAAAACAAACATAGAGAAGAAGTGTGGTGTGATTTCTGGGCAATATGAAGTGGCATTTAAGAATTATGGCCATGAGTTTGAAGTGACACCAGTAAGCCTGTGTTTGTTCTTCTTCAGTACTAGTGAGCTACTTAGGTAAGCATGGTATAGGTTGACAAGTAACTTTAGCCAGCATTAAGACTGAGTATTTACTAGATACAAGCTTGACAAAAATGAGGTGGAAGAGAGTTAAAAGCATTTGCCAGAGAGCCATGGAATTTGAGCTGGGTAAGAAAAATGTAGCCATGCCTGGTGATTGATGGTGACAAAGTGGTAGGGTCAGTAGATAGATTTAAATTTTCAAAGGAAAATGCATTCCCATTATATGAATAATGTATCCTCTTTATGAAAAATTTTTAAATATGTAAAAAGAAAACAGGTAAAGAACCTAAACCTAGTACCACCACCCAAAGATAACAAATCATCTATTTTTGCTGTATTTACTTCTGTATCTTTTGTACTAATAATTTGGGGGGGTTCTATTAGTTTAGTAAGGCTGCCATGACAAAGACCACAGGCTAGGTGGTTTAAACAATAGAAATTTATTTTCTGACATTCTGGAGCCAGAAGTCTGAGATTAAGGTGCGGGCACTGTTATTTCCCATGAGGCCTCTCCTTGGCACACAGGTGGCTGTCTTCTCCCTTTGTCCTTACATCCTCTTTTTCTTGTACCTGTCTATATCCAGATTCCTCCTCTTAAAGACAGCAGACTTAGTGGGCTAGGGCCCGCCCACCTCGATGACCTCATGTTAACTTAATGACCTCTTTAAAGACCTTACCTCCAAATATGGTTGCATTCTGAGGTACTGGGGAGTAGAGACTTTATGATGAAGTTTTGAAGGACACAATTCAGCCCATAAAAGGGATGCTCTCTATTTTTTTTTAATATAATTGTCATCTTTCCATAAATATAATTTTGTTATCATATTTTACCTGGTAGCATTATAACTTAAATATTTTCCCTTTTGTGTTCTAGCCTTTGTAAATATTTAATAGCTATAAAATACTTTGTCAAATGATTGCACTGTATCGCTGATTTTCTTTTTAAATTTTGCCAGAAGGCACATGTACTTGCCAGAAAGAGAAAGGGAAAACAAGAAAGCATTCCACCTGGGGTATGGTCACATAGCAACCCCGTCTCCTCCACTTCTCCTCACTTTGGGGATTTTTAGCATGTTCACACATGTCCAGTATTCTTTTCAAGTTGCCAGGTATGGGATTCAAACGATACAGTTGGCCATGTGGGATCTAGTTGCCTTAACCACCAGGCCACAGGCTAGCCCCGGAATTACCGAAGCTTAGTCAGTCTTCTGTATTGAAAATAGGACTTCCCTCCCCCTTTTCATAGATATTATATAGGAAATGGTAGACTTCTAAATAAAGTCCTTTTTTATTTATTTATTTTTTTTTTGTATTTTGTATCTTTTTTCTGACATTTGGCTTTCCTAGAATAGAATCCTAGAAGTGGAGAGACCAGCAGTTGGCATAACGGCTATGTCGCTGGACTCCCATGTAGTCAACCGCGGTTCAAGTCCCGGACCCAGTGGCTTAAACTCACGCCGGGCGCGTGTGCATACGTGCCCAAGATCCCGAGAGGAGAATGGAGGAGAAGGGATTGCAATGTGGCCATCCCCCCCCCCCCAGGGGGATGATTTCTCACTTTCTGTCTCTCTGTCTCTCTGTCTTTCTGACGAGTGCATGTGCCCTATAGCAAAAACCTCTCCAAAAAAAAAAAAAAAAGAATCCTAGAAGTGGATTACCTTATTAAAAACTATTAATACATATTACCAAATTGGAGAAGTACTGAATCTTGTATTTTCTTTCCTTTCCATGTGACTGTTACCTCTCTCCTTGTAGTAATAGACTGGAATGATGTTAGAAAACACAAATATGGTCATCGCTCAGAGTCTGCATCCCAGGATCAAGGTAAGGAAAAGAAAACTTTATTTTGCATCAAAAAATTTTATTTGACACCTCTTATCATAAAACTTGTGTCTTTAAGAGGTCAGGGCTTATAAATAACTCACTGGTTAAAGCAGAAGTAAATGTGGTTGTTTATAGAGGTTTCTATCAAAAGCTCCGTGCTTGGTTTTGAGATGGAAATCAGGAAGCCCAGATTCTGAGTATAGTCGGCCCCCTAGTCCTGTATCCATGGATTCAACCAACTAAGAATTGAAAATATTCCTTAAAAATAAATAAATAAATAAAACTACACAGTCGAAAACGTGGCCGCACTCTGTGACTGAAACTGATTGACTAAAGGCTATAGAAACACAGTTTATAGATGTAAAGACCAGGTACAGTGTGTGTGAAAGAGGAGGGTCTGAGGAAGGACATTTAGAAGAAAAATAGGGAGGCAAAGCATTAATGGCACAAAGAAATGTGGTATTATCTGTTGAAGATATTTTATAGTTTTGTGAACTGGGAAATGTTCACCTGTTGAAATATCCATTTTGTAAGCCAAATACGGTGATTGAATGTATAAAAGAAAATGAAATAAAAAAAACATGCTGACAAAAACAAACAAACAATACAGTATAGCAACTGTTTACATGGTTTAACATTAGGAATTACAAGTAATCTAAAGATGATTTAAAGCGTATAGACAATGTGTACAGGTTTTATGTATATATTACACCGTTTGATGTAAGAGACTTGAGAATCACAGATTTTTCTATCCATGGGGGTCCCTGAGCCAGTCCCCACCTTTACTGAGGAACTGCTGTGTAGATCAGCCTCGTGGCTTTAGGCACAGTTACTTTAACCTCTCTGAATTGCCATGGAGTTCACAAATTGAGGTTCAGGAGAGATAGAATTGGGTGTTGTACTTCCATAACTACTACTAAGAAACTCCGTATCTTTTAAAATGTGAAAATGGACTAGGGAAACTCTCAAGCCCCGTATTACCCTGGAATTTCACCTTTCTATCATTTTGGTATGTTTGCATTATTACTTACAACATTTTTTTTCTTTCATAGAAACTGCCGACATCCTGGAGCTAGGTAAGATACTTTCCTTGTGTTTCTGTTAAATAATGGCAATGACTAAACCAGAGATTAGATTGGAACCCGTTTTAATCAACGAGGAAAAGAATCCCATGTGTCTCTGTCTCATAAACCTGGGAGCCCCACACTCTCGTCTGCCTCGTTGGCCCATGTAATTCATCTCAGCTGTCACCTCAAGTCCTACTTATCAGGAGACCACAGACCACACTCACAAAAAGGAAGGGAAGGTTATTAATTACGTCGAAGGGAGGAATGGAACTGACCCAAACTGCAAGTAACTTAAGTCATTGACTGTGCAATGAAAACAAACTCCCACCATCCGTAAACCGGTTTGGTGGGATTTTACCAAAAGAAATTACTCACAAGATAAATTGAACCAAAATTAAATGTGAAGATTTTCTAAATTTATTAACTAAATTTAAAACATGGAAATACTAAAATATTATCAAGTAACAAGTCAGACTGATACTGCGTTTGGCTGTCGTGCCCACCGAGTGCACTTCAGGACTAGGATTTAAAGAATACTAACATTTCCCAGCCGGCTTTCAGGGTTCCTACATAAACATCCGTCTTAAGGTCTTAGAGTCCTTTAAAATCCTTCTACGTGCTACAAAAATATTGATATCCTGACGCCTTTATCAATTTCTGTCCAAGTACTTTGATGTATTTTGTTACTGCAACCTCACACATTCAGCTCTGTTGTTATGGTCGTCTCTCTGCTTCGTCTTGCTTTATCGTTCTCAATCACCCTCCATCGCCCACTGATGTAGAAAATGACATAAAGCAGTAAACAGGATTCAGAATTGCTGGGTCTGGTGACAGCCAGCTCTGCCACTTTCCGATTTGTAAAATGGGGATAATAATCCCATTTTGCCTTCTTCACAGGGTTGTGAAGAAGAGTACATGAGCTAATGAATGTGAAAACATCTTAAAAACTCTCAAATACTTTTCACCTTTGGAGGATTTTTATGATTTTCATTCTGTTCAGCGGCTATACTCAGATTTTAAGTCAAATCTTCTGACATTCTTTGAAGTGAAGCATTCTGTGAATATGAGCTGAAGAAATGAATGAAATGAAATAATGCAGGTAAAGGTGCCTGACACGTGGTAAACAAATGGTAGTTATTTTTTATTATTCTTTAAAACTTTACTCAAGCTTTTTAGGGTGTTGGGATGTGTTGGAAAGGCATCAATATAGGTGTTGACTGACCTTGACTCAAATTCCTGTTCCCTGCTGAATAATTTGTGGCTTTACACAGATTACTTAATCTTTCTGAGCCTGTTCTCTACTTTTTTTAAAGGTTTTTGAAGCTTTTTTTGTTTTTGGGGGTTTTTTTGTTGTTGTTTTGTTTGTTTTTTGCCATAGGACACATGCACTCACCAGAGAGAGAGGGAAAAGGAAAAATCACCCTCCAGGAGGTATGGCCACCCCTCAATCTCTTCTCCTCCATTCTTCCCTCAGGATTTTGGGCATGCACTCACATGCGTCTAGCTTGATTTTCAAGCTGCCTGCTCCAGGACTCAAACCATGGTCGGCCATGTGGAAGTCCCGCACCTTAACTACCATACCACCTACTCTCATCTTTAAAATGGGAATAAAACCTACTCTGCAAATTCTAATGTGTCAGTACATAGGAGATACTGAAGATAGCCCTGCCCAATACAGGCAAATGGAAGATACTCTGATTGCTGTTGTTTGTACTTTTGCTGCCAGTATAAACGGCAGCAGCAACTGTAGTTAGTGACAACTGAAGCCATGTTGTAACCACCTGTTTCTTGACAGGGAGTTGTGAAACACGGATTCTCAGTTCAGATCAATTATATCATGTATTAAGTGATGTTAAACCTTGAAAGGATATTTTTCCTTGGAGGGTATTAGTAGCACAGACACATCCTTTGGTGTAAGTTAATCGTGCATCTTGTATTTCTTCCATCAAGCACAGCGGGCAGCCCCACGTATCAAACTGAAATAAAATTCAGTAGATTTTAAGAATTTCGGAGTTGAAAAAGATCTTAAAAATAATCTACCCTAGCCTTTCAAAATCCTTTCAAAATTGAATTTCTTCAAAATGTTTTAAATTTCTTTTTAAAAAAAATTTTTATACATTCAATCATTGTGTATCATTACAGCTTGCAAAATATATTTTCCCAACACAAATACTTTGTATATTAGTCCAGCTGAAGATATTATCATACGTCATATCTTCAAGTTGTTAGGGACTTACTACCTCCTCCGGTGACTCACTTTATATTTAAACACATTTGTTGGACTAAGGTATATATATTTGCAACTTCTGTGAGTCATACTTCCTTCAGGTCATAGAGGCAGATTTAGCCTATGTTCCATTCGCTACACTCTGGTTAGAGAGGGCAGCTCTAGGAACTGCCTTCTCACTGCCACTCTGCCCTTTCCTAGTGCAGCCCACCGTCATCTCACACCTAGATTATCAAAACAGTTTCCTGACTGTCTTCTGCCTCCAACCCATTCGTCACCCTGCAGCCAGAGCGACTCCATCCCAAACCCGTCAGTGCTTCCTCTTTTTGTTAATGTGGCATATGGGATTCTCTGATACCCAAACACTGATTTTATCTACAACTTATTTTCTAAACTACGTTTTCAGGTTTTTTTTTTTTTTTTTTTTTTTTTTTTTTTTTTTAAAGAGATTACTGTAGTGTGAGTGTACTCACTGGAGAGACAGAGAGACAGAAAGCGAGAGATCACCCTCCAGGGAGGATGGCTATACCATAGTCCCTTCTCCGTTCTCCTCTTGGGATTATGGGCATGCACACACATTCTTCCAGCCATGAATTTTAAGCTACTAGGTCCGGGACTCAAACCACAGTCAACTACATGGGAGTCCAGCAACTTATCCATTATGCCATCTGCAGGTACCCTAAACAACTTTTTCTTTAAACTCTACCCAATAGTCATACTAAAAGACCCAATTTTTAGCTTTCCTTTCTTTCTTTTTTATTTTCTGTGCTTGAGGGTACATGCACTTGTGTGAGGAGGAGGAGAGGAGAAAGCAGCTTCCCATGAAGAATGATCATACCACAATTTCCTCTCCTCCGTCTCTCCCTCCTTTTGGGATTTTTGGGCACACGCGCACATGTGCTCATACACACGTGCCCCACGTATTTCTCAACTGGTCACTTCCATGATGCAAACCGCTTAGTTGGTCATGTGGGATCCAGCTACCTTAACCACCTGGCCATGGTGACAACTCTTAGCTTTCTTTTAAAAAATGGGGTCTTGGGACCAGCAGTTGGGGTAATGGCTATGTTGGTGGACTCCCATATAGTCAATTGTGGTGTGAGTCCTGGACCTAGTGGCTTAAACTCATGCCGGGTACGTGTGCATGCATGCCCAAGATCCCGAGAGGAGAATAGAGGAGAAGGGATTGCGGCGTGGTGGGGGTCAATTTTCGCTTTCTGTCTCTCTGTCTCTGTCTTTCTGTCGAGCATACGCGCCCTATAGCAAAAACCTCTCCAATAAATAAATAAATAAAGAAATAATAAATGTGGGGTCTTGCCATATTATAATCCTCCTGCCTCAGTCTCCCGACTGGGACTGCAGGAGTGCACCACCATGGCAGGCTCTCTTTTAGACAGGATCCTGTTGTATTGTCCAGACCGTCCTGAAGCTGGTAATCCTCCAGCTTCAGCCTCCCAAGTTCAGAGATGACAGGCACATGCCCCTGGACCTGCTTAGGTTGGACTTGCAATAGAACATAGGCCTCTTGTGGCCCCACCTTTGGGGCACAGTGTCTTAGCAAAGTGTGCCACCACAGCTGGTCCAAGATTCAGTTTTCAGAACTGCCTTTTCTTACTTTCAGGCCTTTAATATGTCATTTTCTTTCCGCCTGAAAGAGTTTTCTTTCTCATTAACTGAGTCCTGCTTATCCTTTCACAGTTTATCTTTGTAACCTGTAGGTCATTTCCTCCGAGAATCTTTTTCACAAACTCTAGGTGTTCCCATAGCACCCTCTGTCTCCCCAAGTCTCACACTTACTGCAGTAGACTGTAGGTGATGGGGTCTCTCTCTCTCTCACTAGACTGAAGCTCCGTGTGGGCAGGGATAGTATTCTAATGCATGAACCTGTCTCCACTGTCTCCACTCATCCAGATGTTTGTTGGATGAATGGATGAGAAAATGACTCTGAAACTTTGCTATCTTACTCATGCTAAATATTTATTGGTCCTTCAGCTTGCCCTCAGGTAACATGGATTGGGTCCTTTTACCACTGAGTCACCATTTTGACTTCAGTTTGCCCTCTCTCAAGAAATGGCTACCAGAACTAAATTGTGTTATTTTACTAGTTCAGGAAAGAATGGAACTGTTACTGGTGTGCTCATTTTCTTCTTTTATTCTCTCAGAAACTTTAATCGAGTCTCTGGTTTCAAGCACTGTGTTAAAGAATGAAAATTAAAACATTAATAAGAGGGGCCTGTCGGGGGCATAGTGGTTAAGGTGGTTGGATCTCACATGGCCAGCTACCTGATTTAAGTCCTGGACCTGGCAACTAGAAAAACATACCAGGCACATGTGCGTGTGTGCCCAAAATCCTGAGAAGAGAGTGGAAGAGAAGGGATTGCTGTATGGCCATCCTCCCTGGAGAGTGCTTTCTCACCCACTCTCTCTCTGTCTCTGTCTCTGTCTCTGGTGAGCATATGTGCCCTGTAGCAAACTTTTTTTAAAAAAATGAGTAAGAGGTAGTCCCTATCTCTAAGGAGTTTACATAAATAATTATAGTGATGGCTCTGAAAATAAAAGGATAAACAGGATGTTACTGGAGATGGGAAAGTGGTAGGATATTTTCTCAAAAGACAGGAAAAGTTAGGCTTTGCCAAGACAGTGGTGCTTTTGCTGAGCTTCAGTCACTAGGTGGGGAGTGACATGGGCAATGATAGGAGGCCAAGAAAGCCAATGGTTTGTTTTAGGAAACTCTCAGGTCCTTTCTAGCCCTTCATGTGACTACCTGTAGCCACTCAAATCCAGGCCTTCCTCATTTCAGTGTACCTGCCTGGACTGGCTAAAGAGCCTCTGATTCTTCCCTCCCTCTACAGGCCTTTCTTTCTGTTGCTTGAAAGTCTATGTCCTTGCAGAGGGAGCTGTGATAGCGTGAAAGAACACTGGGTGGTCTAGATGCTTTATTTATGTTAAATAAAAATACTCCAAGTTACTTTTGTTCTTCATCCTTTTATTTTTTTAAAGAGGAAATTACACGACAATATTATTGAAGCACTAATATGGTTGAAACTATCCTCCTTACCCAGCTTTCTGCTCCTTGAAGTATGTGCTGAAAGACTATATGTAGTAAATCACTCTAAATTTTCTGTGCATGTATGTGTAAAGCCACATGGTAGAAATGTGTACCAATGAAGCCATTGCTTTGATGCCAGGAGCTGAGCTTCAGCTTGAAACCTTTTCTCAGCCTCAGTATTTCATGAGCTTCTGACTTTTAGCCAGGAGGTTGTCTCATGATATATTTAAAAGGAATTAATGACTGTTACTTGTTTTCAGAAGTTCTTTTTTAGGTTTGATATTTTTACCTTTAGCTGCTCCATAAAAGAGTATCAAGCTCTTGATCTAAAAGGGTTATGGATAGTGTTTTAAGAATGAACTTTTGGGGACTAGCAGTTAGCATAATGGCTATGTTGCTGGACTCCCATGTAGTCTACCATGGTTTGTGTCCCGAACCTGGTAGCTTAAAACTCATGACGGGCGCGTGTTCGTGCGTGCCCAAGATCCCAAGAGGAGAATGGAGGAGAAGGAATTGTGGCGTGGCCATCTCCCCTGGGGGGTGATTTTTCGCTTTCTGTCTCTCTGTCTCTCTCTGTCTGTCTGGTGAGCACACGTGCCCCATAGCATAACCTCTTCAAAAAAAGACAGTGGTGCTTTTGCTGAGCTTCAGTCACTAGGTGGGGAGTGACATGGGCAATGATAGGAGGCCAAGAAAGCCAATGGTTTGTTTTAGGAAACTCTCAGGTCCTTTCTAGCCCTTCATGTGACTACCTGTAGCCACTCAAATCCAGGCCTTCCTCATTTCAGTGTACCTGCCTGGACTGGCTAAAGAGCCTCTGATT